TATTTTTAATAAAGATTTAAACTTTGAGACATTATTGGAATGAGATTGATCATATTAGAAAATATCAAGAATTTTAAAGTATGATTTACTCCTGTTGGTGTTAATTATGAAGGTTGTTTCTTGTGGTTTTTCTCATAAAGATTGAAACTTCATGACTTTTTTGTTGAAAAAATCATATGGGGTGTTTGAAATTTTTGAAAGGAATGAGATTTTGATCAAATTTTAGAAATATCAAGAATTTTGAAATATGCTTACCCTTGTTGGAGTTGATTATGAAGGTTAGTTCTTGTGGTTTTTCTCATGAAGATTGAAACTTTATGACTTTTTATTTGAAAAAATCATATGGGGTGATTGAATTTTTTGAAAGGAATGAGATTTTGATCAAATTTTAGAAATATCAAGAATTTTGAAATATGCTTACCCTTGTTGGAGTTGATTATGAAAGGTTTAGTTCCTTGTGGTTTTTTCTTCATTGAAGATTGAAACTTTATGACTTTTTATTTGAAAAAATCATATGGGGTGATTGAATTTTTTGAAAGGAATGAGATTTTGATCAAATTTTAGAAATATTAAGAATTTTGAAATATGTTTACCCCTGTTGGAGTTGATTATGAAGGCTAGTTCTCATAAAGATTGAAACTTTGATACCTTTTTGTGAAAAATTCATAAGGGGTTTCTGATTTTATTTTTTTGAAAGGAATGAGATTTGAACAAATTTAAGATATTTCAAGAATTTCATCTATTTTAACTTTCTTGTTATGTTGATTTTGGACAGTGCAAGCTTTAATGGAGATCAAGAACTCATTACATGATCCACTTGGTGTTTTGAATTGGGATGAAAGTTCTGTTGATCCATGTAGCTGGAATATGATCACTTGTTCAAATGATAAATTTGTCACTGGCTTGTAAGTATACCCGATTGTCCGGTATCTGCATTGGAGCCCGACTGACAAAACCTTTCTATTCCTAATACTTGAACCTGAGACCTCTAGTTAAGGATGAAAGTGCTTACAAGTTTTCTTGAATTGTGCAGGGCTTGTTCAAGCCAAAGTTTGTCTGGGAAAATATCACCATACATCCATAACTTGACTCACTTGGATCTACTGTGAGTACTTTATATGAAGAAAAAATAATGAAATTTCAAATGATTGATTATTTGAATCAAGAATATAGAAAATAGTAGTACTAATATTACTTTTTAACTTTTTTTTTTAAACAGGCTTCTGCAGAGCAATAATATAACAGGACCAATTCCAACTGAACTTGGAATGCTTCAGAAACTTAATACAATTGATCTTTCTGATAATCAACTCACTGGGAAAATCCCTTCATCTTTAGCTCAATTAAAAAGCCTTCAATACTTGTAAGCAAAGAAAATTTTAAAGATTTTGATATAAAAATGAGTTCTTGAATTATAAAAAGTTAATGATTATGGTTTTTTTTTCTTTTTCAATTGTGTTATAGGAGACTAAACAACAATAGTCTTAGTGGAGCTGTTCCTTTGGAATTGTCTAATATGACTCAACTTACTCTTCTGTAAGTTCCTTAGCCTCATTTAGTTTTGTTTATTTTCTCATACTTGAAGGGGAGCCTCGGAGCAACAGTAAGCTTGTCTCCTTGTTATCTATATAGGTCACGCGTTCGAGTCAGGGGTAGGCTGCCTATAGTATACCCTTTGGGGTGCGGCCTTTCCCCAGACCTTGTGTGAACGTGGAGTGCTTTGTGCACCTTTTTCCTAATTGCTTTCTGTTTTCATGAGTATATTTTGATGGGATTTTTGTTGTTTTTTTCTAGAGACTTGTCTTTTAATAATTTGAGTGGTCCTGTGCCAAGGCTTCTAGCTAAAACATTCAAGTAAGTTTCTTGAACAATTCTTTGAATTTCATTTTTTTTCCCTTTGCTAAAGATTAGAGAAAATAAATCATTTTTTCTCTCATTGATGCAGCCTTTTGGGAAATCCTATTATATGTGCAACTGGAAAAGAACCAGAATGCAATGGAACAACAACATCCATGCCTTTGCCCTTCACTTTGAACAACTCACAAAGTAAGAATCTTGAATCATCCTCCTAAGTTTTTTTTCGAGCCAGCTTGTGTGCCCCTCGACTATTCCACAAATCTTGGTTGTTGTCAAGTCTCCTGCTTTCAACGTCGTTATGATTAACTACAACTCTATTATAAGGATTCATCATGAAGTCTTGGATAGTTTCTGTGTTGTACTATTCACAACTGAGAAGTCTCTTGTTATATCTCAGATGCTCAGCCTTTTGGAAGATCTAAAACTCACAAAATTGCCTTAGCCTTTGGGACAAGTCTTGGATGTATCTGCCTACTAATTATTGGGTTTGGAATATTTCTATGGTGGAGACAAAAGCACAACAAGCAAATTTTCTTTGACATCAATGGTGAGTATGATATGCAGCTAAAACCTATATTGCTCGAATCTCGAGATACTAGTAATGTCTTGCTTTAACCAAGAGGATCATGCTTGTTGATAATTTCAGAACAACATCATGAACAAGTGTGTTTGGGAAACTTGAGGAGGTTCCAATTTAGGGAACTTCAAGTTGCCACAAACAACTTCAGCAACAAGAAGATACTGGGAAAAGGCGGTTTTGGAAACGTGTACAAAGGTTGTCTTAGTGATGGCACGATTGTTGCTGTAAAAAGGCTCAAAGATGGAAATGCAATCGGAGGAGACAAACAATTCCAAACAGAAGTTGAAATGATCAGCTTGGCAGTGCATCGCAATCTCCTACGTTTGTATGGGTTCTCCATGACACCAACTGAAAGGCTTCTGGTTTACCCTTACATGTCTAATGGAAGTGTTGCTTCTCGTCTCAAAGGTAAAAAGAAACAACCTTAGAGAACTAAAGATTCTGCAAGTATTCTTAAATATGGTGGGATGGTTGAGATACCGTCATCCTTAACCATAGTAGGCTTATCTGTGTGAACCGGAATAGTCGAACTAGTGGACTTCAGATACCTGATGGTAGATTTCTCTATTTCTGTTGTTTCTTGCAGCCAAGCCACCATTGGACTGGACTACAAGAAAAAGAATTGCATTAGGAGCTGCAAGAGGTTTACTATATCTACATGAACAGTGTGATCCAAAGATTATCCACAGGGATGTGAAGGCAGCAAACATATTGCTCGACGATGACTGTGAGGCTGTTGTGGGAGATTTTGGATTGGCAAAGCTATTGGATCATCGTGATTCACATGTCACAACTGCAGTTAGGGGAACTGTAGGACATATAGCTCCTGAGTATCTCTCTACAGGACAGTCCTCTGATAAAACAGATGTTTTCGGGTTTGGAATTCTCCTGCTAGAGTTGATATCTGGCCAGAGAGCTCTAGAATTTGGTAAAGCAGCAAATCAGAAAGGCATTATGCTTGATTGGGTAAGTATTACACATTCCAAGATGTGACAAAACCCTCCGTTTCAATTTTTCTTACTTTTCGTTTTAGTCTGTTTAGAAAAAAAATGCCTACGACCATTCTATATCTACTAAGTATGTTTTTTTATTTCAACATTCTATTTTACCTTCAAAGGGTATTTGGTGACAAGATTCAAAAGTCGTATTAACATACTGAAACTTTGTGCTCGATCAAACTAAGACAAACAAAATGAAACGGAGAGAGTATCTCGATTCTTGTTGGGGTTGATAATATCAATGTGCATATTTGTTGCAGGTAAAGAAGATTCACCTGGAGAAAAAGCTTGATTTGCTGGTGAGCAAGGACTTAAAGGACAAATATGATCGGATCGAGCTTGAGGAAATGGTACAAGTAGCTCTAATATGCACTCAGTATCACCCTAGTCATAGACCAAAAATATCAGAAGTGGTAAGAATGCTCGAAGGAGACGGACTTGCAGAGAAATGGGAAGCTTCTCAAAGAGCAGAATCTACGCGCTGCAGAGCCAATGAGTTCTCCTCTTCAGAAAGATATTCTGATCTTACTGATGATTCTTCATTGCTTGTTCAAGCAATGGAATTATCAGGACCAAGGTGATGTAGATTATACAAGATAGTCAATTAGATGAAACAAAAAAGGGCATCTGAGATAGAATGCTGAAGTAATATATGTATGTTATTGAGCTTGTTTTTTATTTCTTCTTTAGATAACTGAGAAGTCCTCGAGGGTCAATAGTGCACGGTTCATAACTCAGTGGATCATAGACACCCCCCTTTACTCTTCTCCACTTATATACCAGACGTGGTAGGGTTCGATTGAGCTTGTATATATGATCATATGGAAGCTGCATAAAGGAATGGGATATGTTCAGACTGTCTAGGAAAAAGATTTATGAGCAACTGACCTCCCCAACCACACCCACAACCCCTACTTTTTTTTCCTCTTCCTGTTTTGAGTGATAATTTTTCTGGGATGTGGAATTGTAACTTTGAGCTTGTAAGAATAATATTGTTGAAATTCAATTTCAGCTTATAAATATTGTATCATAATTCTCATTGAAAAATATTGTTCAAAGGGATTATCTTTTCCATTCAAAAGGGGTATTGTTTACTAACCATTAAGATTAAGGGATTTGATCGAATTTCATTCTTTCTTACTATTCAGAACAATGTGTCTACAATGTCCAACTAAATAAATATGACTCTCATAAAACAACTAGTTGAAATCGACTATATGAATCCTCACTATTCCATTTATGCTCAACACATGTCATGATCATATCAAATAAAAAACAATGCAAAATGACCATGACGACCACAATGAATATATTAAAAAGATCAGTAACCAACCAAAGTCTCATCCCATAGATCATTCAAAGAACAGACATTGAAACAGATTAATCAAAAACATCCATCCAGATTCACTTATGTTCCCAAACTTATACAGTTTTCACAGTGGCAAATGCAAAACAACAGCCTTACTGCTGCATCAACATTCTTTTTACGATTTCAAACATTTTAGCCAAAGATCATGAATCTAATTAAAGACACGTTAAGATCAAGAGGGATTGTGATATGGATACTAATCTACATTGTATTCAACTTGGGCTTTAGATGATGCCCGCTGAAAATTTGTTATCTCTATGAGTACTTTGAGAGATTTTTCTGCTTTCATTCTATAGGGATCGATTACCATTTTGACCAGTGCTGGAGACTTGGCCAATAAAACCTTGATAAGTTGCATTTCAGCCCCTGCTCCTGCTACATTGCTAAGCTTAATCGTCCTCAGGTGATTAAATGTCATATCTGAGAAGCTAGCATGAATCTCATCAACAGCCTCCCGGGGCACATGTACAAAATAGTCCTCATCACTAACAACATACATCTACGAAAGATCAAGAAAAACCCATCAGATGAGCATACAGAATAAGAAAATCAATACATACGAAAAACAAGAAAAGGAAACATCATTAACAACCTCAATTTCAATATCTTCTAAATTTGGAGAGCTTCTTATCAAGCAAAGAGCAAACGAAACATCAAAGAATTCTACCAGAGTAATGCCAGATATGTAAAGGCGTTTAAGACAGTGAAGAGCATAAGGGAGCCTTGTTGGTATAACTTCAGCTGGTCCAACACGCACGTCCTAGGAAGAAAATGTCAAAAATCAGGATGACTCAAAGCCCAAAAGATGGTATATCTATGAAAATGCAAGTTGCGAAGCAATATTACCTGGACACAATCGTTAATCCAGCAGAGATTCTCGAGAGCAGGAATAGACTCAAAAATCTTGCAAACATCATGTTCTGCCTTTACACGAAATTCTGTAGGCTCATATGAAACTTTGGAAAGAAGAGGGGCATTCTTTAAATGTAAAAAGTTTATATTGCCAGAGAAGATAAATGACCTCAGCTTGGGAGCACTAATTTCAATGTGATCTGTAATCGCGTCGTGCTGCAGCACCAAATGCTCAAGCAACGGGCAATGTGAGATTAAACTTCCAAGCAATGCAGAAGAAATTTTGACTTCAATTAGTTCTAAGCTAATTAACTTATCAAATCCCTTAAAGACCGATGGAGGATGTATTAGACATTCCTTGAGAAACAGATGCCTCAATTGCGAACATGTGAAGAATGAAAAAGGCAAATTGTATGGTTGACTACTAAACGGAAGTTTAAGGACAAGATGTTGAATGCCATTCCTGGAGAGAAAATATATCAAGTGGTCGATATTAGGACATACTTCTAGATCAGGAATATCTAGGATAAACTTGGTAATTGGTCCTGTATGAAGGGTCAAGAAGTGACAAAGAATGTTAGTAAATCCAATTGTAGGGGATATTAAGTCCTCTGCTGTTTCCCAAAGTGTTTGATCAAGTTTCAGTTGTGGAAGTCTGCACCAATCATATCTCCATTTCTTCGATAAGATGCTTGTCCTCACAGCATCTCGTAAAGGCAAACTCATTAGAATGTCATCAATTACACTATCGGGAAGGTTGCTAAGTACATCGGAGAGAGGTACGAGTTGTTGTTTTTCATTTTGAGGCATAATATTAAATGATTGGCAACAAGAATCTGCAGAAAATAAACAAGAACACAAAATAGGTAAGGGATCTCCAAACACTATCCGATCACAGTACACACAACTGCTTTTCACATGGTTAAATTAGCATGCTACAACTCTAAGAATAAAAGAAAAGGTGAATTTATCTTTTACTACTGATAAGTAACAATATTATCAATTGAAATCAATAGCTACATGGAGAAAAAGGTTTCAAATTCAGCAAAATTTGACATCAAACTACAGTAGCTTTACTATCAGAATTTGCATATTCTAATTAATCATATTAGCTTCATCTCAACAATGTACATAATCTTGAGTATCTGTAAAGGCTCTGTCATACCTATATTTTGAGTCAAAGTTATTGGGTTCGGCCGAACTTGCTCTGCTCTCCCTTGGAACTCCAACCCTAACCCGCCTGACCACTGTTTGTATAAAATCTGCGCACTCTACAAGATATGTTCAATTCTAATTTGGACTCTATCACACGTGTTCAATTCTAATTTGGACTCTACAAGACATGTCCAATTCCAATTAGGATTCTTGGAGGATACTCAACTCTAAACTTTAAAAGCAGTGTTAGCAAGATTATGTTCCCGTCTTTAAAGAAACTTCCGTGGGCTCATATGACACATTGGAAAGAAGAGGGACATCTTTTAGATGTATAAAATGTATTATCTCCAAAGAAGAAGAATGACCTCTGCTTGAATTGTAACACGTCTTAGGTCTAGGCTAAGAAACCTATCAAATGCCTTAAAGACTGGTGGAGGACGTATGCTCAAGTAATATCAGTTCAAATCTTGAACATAATATTTCTTTTTGTATTCTATTATTTCTCAAAGGAGGCATGTACATGATTATATAACTACGGCTAAGTTACAATATACGGAAATAATTAATATCTTCCTATTTTACAAAGATTACTAGAATCGAGTTCCTATTTTAAAAGATTACAGAATCAAGTCCTAAAATATCTCTACACTCCCTCTCAAGTTGGTGCATAGATGTTGAACATGCCCAACTTGCTCCCAAACTTGGAGAACATTTTACTCGAAACTGCTTTAGTAAGAAGATCAGCCAATTGGTCCTCCGATCGAATCTTAGGTAACTCTAATATCTTTCCATCCTTGATGAAAAACCTGTCTACTTCTACATGTTTGGTACGATCGTGTTGTACCGGATTATGTGCAATATCACGTGCAGCCTTATTATCATAATATAGTTAGATTGGTGCCTTAGGTGGATAACCCAAATCTTCTAAGAGAAGTCTCAACCATAATGCTTTACATATTCCAAGTGCCATTCCTCCGAATTCCACCTCCTCAGTTGACTGAGCAACGACATTTTGTTTTTTGCTTTTCCATGTAACAAGATTTCGTCCCACAAAAGTGAAATATCTCGAAGTAGACCGTCTGCCATCAATAGCTCCAGCCCAGTCAGCATCCGTATATACATTTATCACTAGAGGATCTGTACATTTTGTGAACAAAATTCCCTTTGCTGGAGCAGACTTCAAATATTTCAAGATGCGCATAATTGCATTTTTCTCTCCAGGATTATGCATAAGTTGACTTACCACACTTAAAGAACAAGCAAGGTCTAGTCTTGTGTGTGCTAGGTACATCAATCTTCCTACAAGTCTCTGATATCTTCCTTTATCAACTGGAATTTGATTAGGTTCAACACTTAATTTCAGGCCTTCTTCAACTGGTGTGTCAGCTGATTGGCAAGCTGTCATGCCAGTTTCCTTCAACAAATCTAAAGTATATTTTTTTTGGGATAAGAAAATTCCTTTAGATGATCTAGACACTTCAATTTCAAGGAAATTTTTTAATGGACCAAGGTCTTTCAGCTCGAATTCTTTAGACAGGTAGCTTTGGAGAGCTTTCCTTTCTTCAGGGTCAGTTCGAGTCACCACCATGTCATCAACATATACAATAAGGGCAGTAATTTTACCTTGTTGTCTCTTCAAGAACAAAGTGTGATCGGTGTTGCTTTGAGTATAGCCAAATGCCTTCATAGATTTGGTGAATTTTCCAAACCACGCTCTTGGTGATTGTTTCAATCCATAAAGTGATTTCTTCAATCTGCATACTCTATAATCATGTAATCTCGGTATCTCGTACCCTCGAGGATAGTCCATATAGACTTCTTCATACACCTCACCATGTAGAAAAGAAATTTTCACATCAAATTGTTGTAGTGGCCAATCAAAATTTGCAGCCAAGGATAATAACACTAGAACTATGTTGATTTTTGCAACAGGTGCAAATGTTTCGATATAGTCAATTTCATAGGTCTGAGTATATCCCTTAGCCACCAATTTCTCTTTGAATCATTCTATCATACAATCTGTTTTGTACTTGACTGTATACACCCATCGACATCCAACTGTTTTCTTTTCTGGTGGACAATCGACAAGTTCCCATGTATCATTTTTTTTAAGGATTTCATCTCTTCATCCATAGCTGCTTTCCACCTGGGATCAATTAAGGCTTCTTGCACATTGTTAGGAATAGATACAACAGATAATTGATTTACAAATGACTTATTTGATTCCGACAAACGATGATTAGACATAAAATGGCTCAATGGATATCTAGTCTTACCAGAAATTTCTGGTTCATAGGTGGGTTTAGTAAGATCTCTATTGTGTTGTGGTGATAGTTGTTTGACTGATGGTTCAGGTACAAAATCAGAAACATCCTGAGTTGGCGACAATTGATTTGGTACATCAGTTGCCTGTTGGGTGAGGGGTTCATGTGATATTGGACTAACTTCTCCAATTTCTTGATTTCCAGTAGCACACAAATCTTCTTCTTCAATTTCTTGATTTTCAGCAGTACCCAAATCTGATTCTACCATGCATATCTTGGTTATGCCCCATTTCTTGATGTTCACCACCACATAAACTTGATTCATCTGGTTACTAGGTGCAGAAAGTATCAATTTTTCATAATTTAGAGACAAAATATCCTTCATGTCCTCCCCTTGGAGTATTGTTTCATTAGAAAAATACATAGACTCTTAATGAAAAACAACATCCATTGTAACAAACATTCGTTGAGTTGGAGGATAAAAACATATGTACCCTTTTTGATGAGTAGCATATCCCAAAAAAAAAACACCATAGTGCATGAGGGGATAACTTGTCGCGTTGATGCTTATGAAGATGTACAAATGCTACATAACCAAAAACACGAGGAGTCAAATTTGGGACTGTCGGTGCAATCACCGCTTCAGTAAGAGCTTGAGATGGTGTTCTAAAGTTAATTCTGCTAGAAGGCACTCGATTAATTAAATATGTTGCACAAGTGAGTGTTTCTCCCCAATAACATTGTGGAAGATGAGCTTCAATCACTAGAGCACGAATAACTTCTAATAAATGACTATTTTCTCTCAGCTACCCCATTCTGTTGGGGTGAATTGGGACAAGTAGTTTGATGAGCAATTCCATGTGCTTCTAAATATCGCTTAAGTTCATAGCTAGAATACTCTCCCCCATTGTCACTACGTAGAACTCTTACTTGGGCATTATGTTGAGTTGCAAATCATTTTATGAAACTTTTAAAACAATAAATTCACTTCACTTTTGAACTTCATCAAACACACCCAAGTCATTCTAGTACAATTGTCTATAAAAGTAACAAACCAACGTGATCCACCTAACGTATTCACCTTGGATGGACCCCAAACATCTGAATGTATAATCATAAAAGGAATTGAATTTTTATTCATTCTTGGTGAAAAAGACACACGGTGATTCTTTGAAAGTTCACAGACATCACAATGGAAATCAGAAACATCAAATTTTGTAAATAACTTAGGAAACAATTATTAAGATATCCAAAAGAAGCATGTCCAATCGTCGATGCCATAGCCAAATATCAGATTTCCTTGTTTTGTCCTCACAACTAAACACATCAACCGATAATGCTTGGCACAACTGATTAGAACTTTTTGACTCCAAATCCAAGTAATACAACTGCTCTCGTCTAGTACCATAACCAATCGTTTTCCTCGTCTGGATGTCCTTAAACACACAATAGTCAGGCCAAAACATCACAACACAAGATACAATAATGGTAATTTGAGAAACAGACAAAATGTTACAATCTAATGATGGAACTACTAAGACACGGTCTAAATTCAAATTATTAATGATAGACAAGGATCCTTCCCCAATGATAGGTGCCGAAGAACCATTAGCGGTGGAAATATACTTTTGTGACGCGGGTTTAAGGGATGAAACTTGTCTAGAATCAAATTTCATGTGATCCGTAGCTCCAGAATCAATTATCCATATACTATTAGAAACAAGTGCAGATGAATTTAAAGCCTTACCATTGTTACCTCTCGTTGCTACCAAGGCTGTGGATTGTCCAGCAACATCTTCCTTGGCATTTGTTTCTACAATTGCAGCAGTGGAACTCTTGCTTACATTTCTCCTTCTTGAATCACGGTTATGATCCCACCATTTTTGATATCCCACAATTTCAAAACAACGATATTTTGTGTGCCCCGACTGATCACAATGAGTACACTTATAAGTGGACTTGTTGATATCCTTAGACCTCATTCGATCTGGTTGATTTTGAGAGAACCGATTTTGATTAGAGCTATATTTGCTCAACATGGCTGCTGCTTCAGATTTTTCAAGATCTTCATTCACTGTTGCATGCCAGACAGATTCACGACTAACCATTGAGTAACATTCTTCTAATTCTGGAACAAGATCCTTCCTTAAGATTTCTCCATGAATCTGTTCAAAATTCACCATCCAAACCAGCAAGAAAGATGTGCACCCTTTGTCGTTAAATAAACGTGCGGTAAGAACTGACATCCTTCTCATTTTTCATGATCACCTTATCACGGTGATCCAACTCACAAAAAATTCAATCAATTCTCCATAGTAGGAAGAGAGAGATCTACCATTTTGTTTGGCAAAAAGGCTTTTTGATTCAAAGTGAAGACTTGTAGTTCATCTTCTCCATCATAGAAG